AAAACATTGTGTTTCATTTTAAGTCTTTCTCCTTGAATGTCTTTTCCCGGCTTTCTTTCCAGTGTTCCTGGTACCTACATGCTTGTAATGTATTTTATTCCCTTACCTTGTGCCATTGGCCTCTGTGTTATACCTGCTGAGGGCTGGTGGCGGCGCTCAGTGTAGAACATCGGCTAGCATGTGCTGGTCTTAGATTCTGTCTCCAGCACCTCAAAAAAGTAAATTGGTCACTGAGATCCTTCCACTTGTCCCCTTACGTTTCAGAACTGGTTTTGGCTCTGACTTTACGTTTCCATGCAGGTTTTAGAGTTAGCTGGTCTCTGTAGGAGTTTTGGTTGGAGCTGCATTAAATCCATGTCACCGTGGGTATTTACGTGGACCTTCTCTTCCTGAGCCCAGAACATCACAGCTCCTGATCTGTTGAGGACTCTTGATCTCCAGGTTTTCAGTCTGTCCACGTCTTGTTACATTCATACAGAAAACTTCCTGGGAGCGCTTCTCACAAGAGTTACAACCTTAACTATTTTGATGTTCAGTTGCTCATTGATACACATCTATGGGATTGAATTTTGTGTTTGATCTTTGTCCTGTAGAGCCAGGCATACTTCATGTTCTCCAGTTCCATTTCCCTGTGAAGGACATTGTTTTATTCTTTTTTGTCAGTTATGGGGCTTGAACTCAGGGAATGGGTGCTGTCTGTGAACCTTTTTGTCCAAGGCTATCCCTCTACCAGTTTGAGCTTTGGCACCACTTTTGGTTTTCTGGTGATTCACTGGACTTTTCTGCCTGGTTGGCTTTGAACCATGATCCTCAGATCTCAGCCTCCAGAGTAGCTACGATTACAGGCATGAGCCACCAGTGCCTGGCATTGTTTCATTCTTTATGGCTGAATAATGCTCTATTGTGTATACATGCCACATTTAATTTTCTTTTTTGTTGGTCATGGGGCCTGAACTCTGAGCCTGGGCGCTGTCCCTCAGCTCTTCAGCTCAAAGCTAGAGCTCTACCACTTGAGCCACAGCGCCACTTCCGGCTTTTTCTGCAGATGTGGTGCTGAGGAATTGAACCCAGGGCCTCATGCATGCAAGGCAAGCGCTATACCACTGAGCCACCTTCCCAGTTCACGTACCACATTACCTTGATCCATTCATCAGTTGTAGGGCATCCAGGCTGTTTCCATAGCTTTGCTGTTGTGAGTAGTATTGCTGTGAACACAGCACGCAGGGCCTTGAACTCCTCAGAGATAAGCCCAAGAGCAGTGTTGCCAGGTGGTCCCTTCCTATGGATTTCCAGTGGTCACAGTAGTTCATGTTCCCCGTGCCCGAGGTCCTGTCTCCCCGGCCCATGATGAAGCACAGGTTAGCTGCAGTTCGATCATTGCCTGTGCTTGTTTTTGCCCAGCCTGCTTCTCTCTGCCACCCGGGTGGGCCCAGGCTCTGGGTGCTGAGTGCTGGGTCTGGGCTGGTCTTCGAATCCGGCCCGGTCCTGAGACCCCGGTGAGGGCGGGAGCCATGCGGGACGGGCCGTCCAGCGGGCACCGAGCCCTGCCTCAGCCCCAGCCCCCTGCCCCAGCCCCAGCCCCAGCCCCCAGCCCCAGCCCCAGCCCCCAGCCTCAGCCCCCAGCCCCCAGCCTCAGCCCCCTGCCCCAGCCCCAGCCCCCAGCCCCAGCCCCAGCCGCCTGCCCCAGCCCCCAGCCCCCAGCCTCAGCCCCCAGCCCCAGCCCCAGCCGCCTGCCCCAGCCCCCAGCCCCCAGCCCCAGCCCCCTGCCCCAGCCCCCAGCCCCAGCCCCCAGCCCCAGCCTCCTGCCCCAGCCCCAGCCCCCTGCCCCAGCCCCCAGCCCCAGCCCCAGCCCCCTGCCCCAGCCCCCAGCCCCCAGCCTCAGCCCCCAGCCCCAGCCCCAGCCCCAGCCCCCTGCCCCAGCCCCAGCCCCAGCCTCCTGCCCCAGCCCCAGCCCCCTGCCCCAGCCCCCAGCCCCAGCCTCCTGCCCCAGCCCCCAGCCCCAGCCCCAGCCCCAGCCTCCTGCCCCAGCCCCCAGCCTCAGCCCCCAGCCCCAGCCCCAGCCTCCTGCCCCAGCCCCAGCCCCCTGCCCCAGCCCCCAGCCTCAGCCCCAGCCCCAGCCCCAGCCCCGGCCCCGGCCCCAGCCCCAGCCCCGGCCCCAGCCCCAGCCCCAGCCCCGGCCCCAGCCCCAGCCCCAGCCCCCAGCCCCCAGCCCCGGCCCCAGCCTCCAGCCCCAGCCTCCAGCCCCCAGCCCCAGCCCCCAGCCCCAGCCTCAGCCCCCAGCTCCCAGCCCCAGCCCCAGCCCCCAGCCCCAGCCCCAGCCCCCAGCCCCGGCCCCGGCCCCAGCCCCAGCCCCAGCCCCCAGCCCCCAGCCCCGGCCCCGGCCCCGGCCCCGGCCCCAGCCCCCAGCCCCCAGCCCCCAGCCTCCAGCCCCAGCCTCCAGCCCCCAGCCCCCAGCCCCAGCCTCAGCCCCCAGCTCCCAGCCCCAGCCCCGGCCCCCAGCCCCAGCCCCGGCCCCGGCCCCGGCCCCGGCCCCAGCCCCCAGCCCCCAGCCCCCAGCCCCCAGCCTCCAGCCCCAGCCCCCAGCCTCCAGCCCCAGCCCCCAGCCCCAGCCCCAGCCCCCAGCCCCAGCCCCAGCCCCCAGCCCCCAGCCCCGGCCTCCTGCCCCAGCCCCAGCCCCAGCCCCCAGCCCCAGCCTCCAGCCCCAGCCCCAGCCCCCAGCCCCGGCCTCCTGCCCCGGCCCCCTGCCCCGGCCCCAGCCCCCAGCCCCGGCCTCCTGCCCCGGCCCCCTGCCCCGGCCCCAGCCCCCAGCCCCGGCCTCCTGCCCCGGCCCCAGCCCCGGCCCCAGCCCCCAGCCCCAGCCTCCTGCCCCAGCCTCCAGCCGGCCGGACGCTTGCCCGGCCTCCTTCGCAGAACCGACCGCTTGTCCCGGACCAGCCTCCCGCACGCACCGCACCCACCTCCCTCCGCCGGCGGCGGCGCGGCCGGTCCGCCCCACGCTGCGGGCGCGCGCGGCCCCGCACGGCACCCGCACCGCGCCGGGCGCGCACAGCACCGCGGCGCCCTCCAGGTGGCAGCCGGAGTTGGAGGCGGCGGCGGCCGGGGCGGGGGGAGCCCGAGCCGGCGGCGGAGAGGCCGGGCGGGGCCGTGCCCGCGGGCACGCGGGGCAGACTCAGGCCGCCGGTGGACGCGGCCCCGCCCCGGCCGCCGCCGCGCGGGTCTGGTGAGCGCGGGCCGGATCTCGGGGCAGAGGCGGGGCGCGGGGCCGGGGCCCGGGGCGTCACCACTGCGGGGCTCGGCGCGGGGCGGGGCGCGGCCGGGGGCGGCGCGGCGCTCGGCCCAGCTCGGAGCCTCGGCGCGGCCGGCCGGCCCGCAGCTTCTGGTAGGCGCGGGCGGCGGGCGGCGGGGCCCGGGGAGCGCGGCGGCGGGCGGCGGGCGGCGGGCGGCGGGCGGCGGGGCCCGGGGAGCGGGGCGGCGGGCGGCGGGGCCCGGGGAGCGCGGCGGCGGGCGGCGGGCGGCGGGGCCCGGGGAGCGCGGCGGCGGGCGGCGGGCGGCGGGCGGCGGGGAGCGCGGCGGCGGGCGGCGGGCGGCGGGCGGCGGGCGGCGGGCGGCGGGGCCCGGGGAGCGGGGCGGCGGGCGGCGGGCGGCGGGGCCCGGGGAGCGGGGCGGCGGGCGGCGGGCGGCGGGGCCCGGGGAGCGGGGCGGCGGGCGGCGGGCGGCGGGGCCCGGGGAGCGCGGCGGCGGGCGGCGGGCGGCGGGGCCCGGGGAGCGGGGCGGCGGGCGGCGGGCGGCGGGGCCCGGGGAGCGGAGCGGGGCGGCGGGCGGCGGGGCCCGGGGAGCGGGGCGGCGGGCGGCGGGCGGCGGGGCCCGGGGAGCGCGGCGGCGGGCGGCGGGCGGCGGGGCCCGGGGAGCGCGGCGGCGGGCGGCGGGCGGCGGGGCCCGGGGAGCGGGGCGGCGGGCGGCGGGGCCCGGGGAGCGGAGCGCGGTGGCGGGCCCGGAGCGCGGCGGGGCTGGAGGCCCGCGGGGCTGGAGGGCCTGGGCCGCCGCAGGGCCTGGGCCGGGCCGGGCGCCGCGGGTGCGGCAGGGTCCGGGCCGCCCGAGGCCTCTGGTGGGGAAGGGAGGCGGAGAGCGGCCTGCGGAGCGCGGCCTCCGCGTCGCCGGACGGCGGGCAGGGGTGGGAGGGGTGGGTCGGCGAGGCCGGGAGGGCGGACTCGGGGCTGGAGTGGGCGAGGCCCGAGCCGCGGGCCGGCGGGCGCTGGGGACCCGGCAGGGCCCGGGCGGGATGCGGCCCTTCCCACCCCCGCGCCCGCACCTGCCTGTGGCTGGACCGGGCCTCAAGGGTCGGTGCAGGGGGAGGTGATGGGGGGGAGGGTGGGCGCAGGGGAGGCGGCGGGGTGGGCAGGGACGGTCCCGCGTGCCCCGTGGGGCCGGTGGGCACCGGGTGGAGGGGTGCGGGGTGCGGGGCCCGGGCAGTGCCGGCAGCAGAGGCGGCCGCGGCAGTGCCGCCCCTGGGCAGTGGGGAGCGGCGGTGGGAGCCGAGGGCAGAGCGGGTGCGGGGGGCGCGGGGGCTGCGGGATGGGAACCATCCTGGGAGGCGCAGCCGCCCGGATCCGCCCCAGCGGGAGCATCGGTGCGGGTCAGCGGCGGGAGCCCCGGGTGCGGGTCAGCGGCGGGAGCCCCGGTGCGGGTCAGCGGCGGGAGCATCGGTGCGGGCGCGCGGGCCGAGCTGCTCCGGTCCGCTCCGGTCCGGTCCCGGCGGCGGGCCGCAGCGCCCCCTGGCGGCTCCGGGCCCTGTGCGGCGGCGGTGGCGGCATGGCGGGAGTGGGGTCCCCCGGCGGCGCCGGCCCCGCGCGCACGGGGCCTGACCTGTCTCTGGTCTTCCCCAGGTTGGGAGCTCGCCAGCCCGCAGCGGCGGCGCCTTGGGACCGGCCGGCCCGCGCGCGGCTCCCCGCGCCCGGCTCCCCGCGCCGCACCATGCCCGCGGGCTGAGCGCCGCCGCAGGACGAGGTCCCGCCCGGCGCGGGGTCCGCCCGGCCCCGGCCGCCGACCATGGTGCTGCCTCCCCCCGACCGGCGCCACGTGTGCCTGACCACGCTGGTGATCATGGGCAGCATGGCCGTCATGGACGCCTACCTGGTGGAGCAGAACCAGGGCCCGCGCAAGATCGGCGTGTGCATCATCGTGCTGGTGGGCGACGTGTGCTTCCTGCTGGTGCTGCGCTACGTGGCCGTGTGGGTGGGCGCCGAGGTGCGCACGGCCAAGCGCGGCTACGCCATGATCCTGTGGTTCCTCTACATCTTCGTGCTGGAGATCAAGCTCTACTTCATCTTCCAGAACTACAAGGCGGCGCGGCGCGGCGCGGGCGACCCGGTGGCGCGCAAGGCGCTGACGCTGCTGCTGTCCGTGTGCGTGCCCGGCCTCTTCCTGCTGCTCGTGGCGCTCGACCGCATGGAGTACGTGCGCACCTTCCGCAAGCGCGAGGACCTGCGCGGCCGCCTCTTCTGGGTGGCGCTGGACCTGCTGGACCTGCTGGACATGCAGGCCAACCTGTGGGAGCCGCCGCGCACCGGGCTGCCGCTGTGGGCCGAGGGCCTCACCTTCTTCTACTGCTACATGCTGCTGCTGGTGCTGCCGTGCGTGGCGCTCAGCGAGGTCAGCATGCAGGGCGAGCACATCGCGCCGCAGAAGATGATGCTCTACCCGGTGCTCAGCCTGGCCACCGTCAACGTGGTGGCCGTGCTGGCGCGCGCCGCCAACATGGCTCTCTTCCGCGACAGCCGGGTCTCCGCCATCTTCGTGGGCAAGAACGTGGTGGCGCTGGCCACCAAGGCCTGCACGTTCCTGGAGTACCGGCGCCAGGTGCGCGACTTCCCGCCGCCCGCGCTGGCGCTGGAGCTGCAGCCGCCGCCGCCCCGCGGCGCCGTGCCCGCCGCCGCCCCGCTGCACGGCCCCCCGGGCCGGCCCTGCGCACCCTCGCCCCCGCGCGACGCCCTGGACACGTGACGGCCCACGCGGGGCCGAGGCCCCCCACAGGCGTGGAGAGCGCCGTGCTGCGCCCGGGCCACTTCATCTCAGGAATCCCTCGGGCCGACCGGACAGACCGACTACCGACCGGGCCTGCAGCCTCTGCCCCGGGGACACCGAGGCGGCCGGAACCCCGTCTGCTGGGTCCCGGGTGGGAGGGAGGACGCCCGTGGATGCCCGGCCCCGGGGTGAAGGGAGGGCGCGTGGACGCTGGCCCCAGTGGGGGCCGAGGAGGCCGCTGTCATTTTAAAGACTTTCGTTTACAGTTTTGTATCCAAAGCCTCACTGCTCTGCCTGTTTTCCTGCAACCCAGGCTAACCCTGGACGACCCAGTCTATCAGTTGGATGGGGGTGGGGGGCGATGGAGGGCAGCATGCAGGAGGCCAGCTGGCCACCCGGCCGCCGCCTAGGGCTTTCCCAGGCCGCCCCGGGCTCCTCCACACCCCTCTCCCTCCCCTGCGGCCACACCTTTCTGCTTTTGTAGGCACCAAAGCCTTAATATTGTTCTTCCTGAGATCTTGACCCCATGGTCCCACCCCGCCGGTGTCCAGGCCCCTGTCCTGTCCTTCCCCACATGCCTAGCCCCAGTCCCCCCCCCCCCCCCCCCCCAGGGCTCCTCTGCCCACAGCTGCCCCGGCCAGCTCTGTTCCCAAGCTGCGCCTCATCCAGGAGCCTGCAGCCTGGCCCTGCCCCAGACCCTGGCCAGTCCCCCAGTCCCATGGCTGGTCAACACAGGCCAGAAGTCTATCCGCAGCTGCCCTGACCTTATCCAACCTGCCTGTGTGACTCTGGGTCTCCTAGGCCTGGCAGTGTCTTTGTGGGGCTATGGATATGGTGTGCTCCAGGAGGTGGTGTTACGCCTTCCCACGGGATGAACCCCCAACACCTCCACCGGTCGCCCTCCCATGGACTGCTCCAGTGGACGGCATCCCCTGGACACCTTTCCCTGGACACGCTCCCCTGGACGCCCTCCCCTCGACATCCTCCCCTCGACATCCTCCCCTGGACGGCCTCCCCTAGACAGCCTCCCCTGGACATCCTCCCCTGGACAGCCTCCCCTGGACGCCCTCCCCTGGAAGCCCTCCCCTGGACGCCCTCCCCTGGACGCCCTCCCCTGGACGCCCTCCCCTGGACATCCTCCCCTGGACATCCTCCCCTGGACGCCCTCCCCTGGACGCCCTCCCCTGGACGCCTTCCCCTGGACGCCCTCCCCTGGACGCCCTCCCCTGGACATCCTCCCCTGGACATCCTCCCCTAGACACCCTCCCCTGGACGCCCTCCCCTGGACATCCTTCCCTGGACATTCTCCCCTAGACGCCCTCCCCTGGATGCCCTCCCCTGGACGCCCTCCCCTGGACGCCCTTCCCTCGATGGCCTCCCCTGGACATCCTCCCCTGGACATCCTCCCCTAGACGCCCTCCCCTGGACGCCCTCCCCTGGACATCCTCCCCTAGACGCCCTCCCCTGGACGCCCTCCCCTGGACGCCTTCCCCTGGACGCCCTCCCCTGGACGCCCTTCCCTCGATGGCCTCCCCTGGACATCCTCCCCTGGACATCCTCCCCTAGACGCCCTCCCCTGGACGCCCTCCCCTGGACGCCTTCCCCTCGACGCCCTCCCCTGGACGCCCTTCCCTCGATGGCCTCCCCTGGACATCCTCCCCTGGACATCCTCCCCTAGACGCCCTCCCCTGGACGCCCTCCCCTGGACGCCTTCCCCTTGACGCCCTCCCCTGGACATCCTCCCCTGGACGCCCTCCCCTGGATGCCCTTCCCTCGATGGCCTCCCCTGGACATCCTCCCCTGGACATCCTCCCCTGAACGCCCTCCCCTGGACATCCTCCCCTGGACATCCTCCCCTGGACGCCCTCCCCTGGACATCCTCCCCTAGACGCCCTCCCCTGGACGCCCTCCCCTGGACGCCCTCCCCTGGACGCCCTCCCCTGGACGCCCTCCCCTGGACATCCTCCCCTGGACATCCTCCCCTGGACGCCCTCCCCTGGACGCCCTCCCCTGGACGCCTTCCCCTGGACGCCCTCCCCTGGACGCCCTCCCCTGGACGCCCTCCCCTGGACATCCTCCCCTGGACATCCTCCCCTGGACATTCTCCCCTAGACGCCCTCCCCTGGACGCCCTCCCCTGGACGCCCTCCCCTGGACGCCCTTCCCTCGATGGCCTCCCCTGGACATCCTCCCCTGGACATCCTCCCCTAGACGCCCTCCCCTGGACGCCCTCCCCTGGACATCCTCCCCTGGACATCCTCCCCTAGACGCCCTCCCCTGGACGCCCTCCCCTGGGCGCCCTCCCCTGGATGCCCTCCCCTGGACATCCTCCCCTGGACATCCTCCCCTAGACGCCCTCCCCTGGACACCCTCCCCTGGACGCCTTCCCCTGGACGCCCTCCCCTGGACGCCCTTCCCTCGATGGCCTCCCCTGGACATCCTCCCCTGGACATCCTCCCCTAGACGCCCTCCCCTGGACGCCCTCCCCTGGACGCCTTCCCCTGGACGCCCTCCCCTGGACATCCTCCCCTGGACATCCTCCCCTGGATGCCCTCCCCTGGATGCCCTTCCCTCGATGGCCTCCCCTGGACATCCTCCCCTGGACATCCTCCCCTGAACGCCCTCCCCTGGACATCCTCCCCTGGACATCCTCTCCTGGACGCCCTCCCCTGGACATCCTCCCCTAGGCGCCCTCCCCTGGACGCCCTCCCCTGGATGCCCTCCCCTGGACGGCCTCCCCTGGACATCCTCCCCTGGACATCCTCCCCTGGACATCCTCCCCTGGACGCCCTCCCCTGGACATCCTCCCCTGGACATCCTCCCCTGGACGCCCTCCCCTGGACATCCTCCCCTGGACATCCTCCCCTGGGCGCCCTCCCCTGGATGCCCTCCCCTGGATGCCCTCCCCTGGACGCCCTCCCCTGGACACCCTCCCCTGGACGCCCTTCCCTGGACGCCCTCCCCTGGACGCCCTCCCCTGGACGTCCTCCCCTGGACGCCCTCCCCTGGACGCCCTCCCCTGGACGCCCTCCCCTGGACATCCTCACCTGGACATCCTCACCTGGACACCCTCCCCTGGACATCCTCCCCTGGACGCCCTCCCCTGGACGGCCTCCCCTGGACATCCTCCCCTGGACATCCTCCCCTGGACATTTTCCCCTGGACATCCTCCCCTGGACGCCCTCTCCTGGACATCCTCCCCTGGACATCCTCCCCTGGATGCTCTCCCCTGGAAACCCTCCCCTGGACGCCCTCCGCTGGACGCCCTCCCCTGGACGCTTTCCCCTGGACGCCCTCCCCTGGACATCCTCCCCTGGACACCCTCCGCTGGACGCCCTCCCCTGGACATCCTCCCCTGGACATCCTCCCCTGGACGCCCTCCCCTGGACATCCTCCCCTGGACGCCTTCCCCTGGACGCCCTTCCCTCGATGGCCTCCCCTGGACATCCTCCCCTGGACATCCTCCCCTAGACGCCCTCCCCTGGACGCCCTCCCCTGGACGCCTTCCCCTGGACGCCCTCCCCTGGACATCCTCCCCTGGACATCCTCCCCTGGATGCCCTCCCCTGGATGCCCTTCCCTCGATGGCCTCCCCTGGACATCCTCCCCTGGACATCCTCCCCTGAACGCCCTCCCCTGGACATCCTCCCCTGGACATCCTCTCCTGGACGCCCTCCCCTGGACATCCTCCCCTAGGCGCCCTCCCCTGGACGCCCTCCCCTGGATGCCCTCCCCTGGACGGCCTCCCCTGGACATCCTCCCCTGGACATCCTCCCCTGGACATCCTCCCCTGGACGCCCTCCCCTGGACATCCTCCCCTGGACGCCCTCCCCTGGACATCCTCCCCTGGACATCCTCCCCTGGGCGCCCTCCCCTGGATGCCCTCCCCTGGACGCCCTCCCCTGGACGCCCTCCCCTGGACTGGACACCCTCCCCTGGACGCCCTCCCCTGGACGCCCTCCCCTGGACGTCCTCCCCTGAACGCCCTCCCCTGGACGCCCTCCCCTGGACGCCCTCCCCTGGACATCCTCACCTGGACATCCTCACCTGGACGCCCTCCCCTGGACATCCTCCCCTAGACGCCCTCCCCTGGACGGCCTCCCCTGGACATCCTCCCCTGGACATCCTCCCCTGGACATTTTCCCCTGGACATCCTCCCCTGGACGCCCTCCCCTGGACATCCTCCCCTGGACATCCTCCCCTGGATGCTCTCCCCTGGAAACCCTCCCCTGGACGCCCTCCGCTGGACGCCCTCCCCTGGACGCTTTCCCCTGGGCGCCCTCCCCTGGATGCCCTCCCCTGGACGCCCTCCCCTGGACATCCTCCCCTGGACATCCTCCCCTGGACGCCCTCCCCTGGACATCCTCCCCTGGACGCCTTCCCCTGGACATCCTCCCCTGGACGCCCTCCCCTGGACGCCCTCCCCTCGATGTCCTCCCCTGGACATCCTCCCCTGGACGCCCTCCCCTGGACATCCTCCCCTGGACGCCCTCCGCTGGACGCCCTCCCCTGGACGCCTTCCCCTGGACGCCTTCCCCTGGACAGCCTCCCCTGGGCGCCCTCCCCTGGACGCCCTCTGCTGGACGCCCTCTGCTGGACGCCCTCCCCTGGATGCCCTCCCCTGGACGCCCTCCCCTGGACGCCCTCCCCTAGATGCCCTCCCCTGGAGATCCTCCCCTGGACGTCCTCCCCTGGACGCCCTCCCCTGGACGCCCTCCCCTCGATGCCCTCCCCTGGACATCCTCCCCTGGACGCCTTCCCCTGGACATTCTCCCCTGGACATCCTCCCCTGGACGCCCTCCCCTGGACGCCCTCCCCTGGACATCCTCCCCTGGACGCCCTCCCCTGGATGCCCTCCCCTGGACGCCCTCCCCTCGATGCCCTCCCCTGGACGCCTTCCCCTGGACATTCTCCCCTGGACGCCCTCCCCTGGACGCCCTCCCCTGGACATCCTCCCCTGGACATCCTCCCCTGGGCGCCCTCCCCTGGATGCCCTCCCCTGGACATCCTCCCCTGGACGCCCTCCCCTGGACATCCTCCCCTGGACGCCCTCCCCTGGACATCCTCCCCTGGACGCCCTCCCCTGGACGCCCTCCCCTGGACGCCTTCCCCTGGACGCCCTCCCCTGGACGCCCTCCCCTGGACGCCCTCCCCTGGACATCCTCCCCTGGACATCCTCCCCTGGACATCCTCCCCTAGACGCCCTCCCCTGGACGCCCTCCCCTGGACATCCTCCCCTGGACATTCTCCCCTAGACGCCCTCCCCTGGACGCCCTCCCCTGGACGCCCTCCCCTGGACGCCCTTCCCTCGATGGCCTCCCCTGGACATCCTCCACTGGACATCCTCCCCTAGACGCCCTCCCCTGGACGCCCTCCTCTGGACATCCTCCCCTGGACATCCTCCCCTGGACGCCCTCCCCTGGACGCCCTCCCCTGGACGCCCTCCCCTGGACATCCTCCCCTGGACGCCTTCCCCTGGACATCCTCCCCTGGACATCCTCCCCTGGGCGCCCTCCCCTGGATGCCTTCCCCTGGACATTCTCCCCTGGACATTCTCCCCTGGATGCCCTCCCCTGGACGCCCTCCCCTCGATGGCCTCCCCCTTGCACTGAGCCTACTGTGGTCACTGTATTGACCTTCACATCCTCTGAGGTAGAAGATGTGCTGTTTATTTCTGGAGAAGTCTGAGTAGGTCTGGCCAAGAGCAGACCCCTGGCAATTTGGGGCCCCGGGAGCAGGGGGCGCACCAGCCATGGCTGCCTCTGAGCAGCGGACAGCCCCGCTAGCTACTCCAGTCTTGCCTTTGGCAATCGTGTCTTCCAGGCATGTGGCCTTGGGGACCGTGTTCCTCGGGTGTGTGGGGCGGCCTCCGTGACTAAGCCCTGCCCTGGTGTGTGGTGGCCTGGCCTCTGACTGATCCGGGCGGCTCCTCGTGCAGGGCCCTGCAGTCAGTGCCCGTGTGCGCACCCGTGTGTGCGTGCAATTGCGTGCATTCACGTGCATGGAGGCCCTGTGTGGGAGGGCAGCGGCCCCAGAGAGGCCCAGATGGGGAATGGGGGGAATGGAGGGAATGGAGGGCCGAGAGGGCGCCCTCTGGTGGGCAGCATGGACTGCCCTGGCTCGTGTCGTCCGAGGCAGGGGAGGCTTTAGGACTGAGTCTCTGTCCTGCTGCGGCCAGGCTCCCCAGCTGTGGGGCCGGTCTCAGGTGAGTCCTGTGCACCCCCCCCCCCCCGGCTCTCCGGACGTCTCAGGGCTAGTCAGAGCAGCCGCGGATGAGGCCCGTCCCTGATGCCCTTCTCCCAGAAGAGACCAGGCCCCCGCTCCACTCTGCCACAACTTGGGGTTTCCTTCTTTTTTCTTACTGGGCACTGAACGTGGGGCCTTGTACGTGTTTACCACTCGAGCCATGTCTCCAGACTGCTTGAGTGTGTTCTCAGTCACTTTTTTTTTTTTTTTTTTTGATATGTATAAATTTTTCTCAGTCACTTTTGTGATGCCTTGAACTCGGGGCCGCTCCTGTGGTTGGGGTCCCAGGTGCGGAGTGGTGCTCAGTGCCATCTGCCTCGGTCTCTGAGGGCATCTTAAGAGGCGGGCATGAATCCGGGCTCTCTTCAGCAAGGCCGGGCACCGACGGGGTGGTGTCATGCTCTTCCTGAGGCTTCTGTTCTGTGAGGTTCCCCTTGGATAGGGAGGGACCCTGGCTGCCTCCCTGCCGCCCTCCCCTGGCTTCCTGGGGTGGCTCGGAATGGCCGGGAGCCACGGAGGAGCGGCAGGGGTTCCTGTCCCCATGAGTTCACGCACCTGCCAGCCCGGGACCAACACCCTCTCAGCTGGCGGTGGCAGGGCGGGCACCGAGTGGCCCTGGGCCAGGGCTGGCCCTGCAGGGACAGGGCCTTGGGCTGGAGGTGCCAGTGTGTCAGGAGATGGATAGGTGTGTCAGGAGATGGATAGGTGTGTCAGGGTAGGTGTGTCCGGAGGCGGCTCTGACATGCAGTGGGAGCTTGCCCTGCCTGCAGTGCTGAGTGGCCAAGCCTTCATCCTGGGCTGGGAAGGGCCTGTCTCCCCGCACCTGTGGGGTGCCCCCCGCACCTGTGCAACAGGGCAGCTACCCCTCACCAGTTGGCAGAGGAAGTAAAATCCCAAACCTGCTCAACTCCCCACTGCCAGAGCAAGAGCCTGGGGGCGTCTTGAGGCCTGGCAGGAGGCCACAGCACCAGCCTGGGGCCCTGCAGCTTTCCCGGGGCCAGGGAGGGGAGGAGCAGGCTCGGCCCCACCCCTCCTTCCTGGCCTGGCTGCTGCTTTGTAGGATGGAGGGGCAGGGGGTGGGGGAGGGGGGGGGGGGTGGGAGTGGGGCGGGGGTGGGGGAGGGGCAAGTTGTTTGAGCCCACCACAGGCATGCACTCGGCCACCTTTGACCTTTCATTTTCCACTGCAAAGAACACTCACACCTTTCTGTGGAACATAATAATAAAAACTCAGCGGGGTGTTGGTGGCTCATGCCTGTCACCCTAGCTACTCAGGAGGCTGACCTGAGGATCGCAGCTCAAAGCCAGCCCAGGGAAAGTCCATGAGACTCTTATCTCCAATAAACCATCAGAAAACCGGAAGTGGAGCTGTGGCTCAAGTGGTAGAGCTCTAGCCTTGAGCTGAAGAGCTGAGGGACAGCGCCCAGGCCCAGAGTTCAAGCCCCGCAACTGACAAAAACAAACCTCTCGAAGCCTGGTGGAAGCAGGTGCTGGGCTGCCTCCTTGGGTGTCGGAGGCCTCTCTGTGCCCAGGCTGAGTCACACCCTCCTCCAGCGGCTTCCCTTGTAAAAACACCGCAACTGCCGTTCAGCACCAGAAAGAGTAAACAGGACACCCTAGCCCATCAGAGGAGGCCAGGGAGGGCCAGGATCAGCCTGTGGAGGCCGGCGTGTGCCGGGCTGGTGTGTGCTAGTGTGCTAGACCTGTGGCCGGGGTTGTACCAAGGGCTGAGGATAGGGAAGGAGGAGGGCTGGGTAGGGTAGGGGGCTTAGGAGAGAGGAGACGGCTGTGTCCTGGAAGCCCAGGCCTGGGCTGGTGCTGGGAGCCGGTGGCAGGGAGGCCGCTCCCTTCATGGTGTCTAGGAAGAAGGGGGTGGGTGGGAAGAGAAGGAAGGGGAGAATGAGCTTACCGAAGGGGCTGGTGTTCAGTATGCCTTGGGAAATGCATCCCGAGGCCTTCAGGCAGCCAGGTCTCACCTGTTCCCAATACTACCTCCGAGTTGTGAGCCCTTGGGTGACTGTCATCAGGAGGTCCCGTCCCTCCCCGGAGCCCATCGGCCGCAGCGGGCCTTATTTCAGATTCAAACTCCACACCTGCGTGGGAGTCTGCTGTGCGCCAGCTCCCGGGAAGGCAGGGCAAAAGCCTCTGCAAAAGGCCTGGGGGAGAGGCTCACGCCTGCAATCCCAGCCGCTCCATGGGCTGAGATCTAGAGGCTCAAGTTTGAAGCCAGTCTGAGCAGAAAAGTCAGTGAGTCTGTTTTCAAAATAATCAGTAAGGATGGAGCTGAAGACGTGGCTCATGTGGTAGAGTACCAGCAAGCTGAGCACGCGCAGCCTTGAGTTCAACCTCTTGTTTTGTTTTTCCCCTCTCAGTCCTGGGGCCTGAGTTCTCTCTGGGCCTGGGCGCTGTCCCTCAGCTCTTCAGCTCAAGGCGAGCGCTCTACCACTTGAGCCACAACACCACTTCTGGTTTTCTGAGTGGTCTACTGGAGATAAGAGTCTCATGGACTTTCCTGCCCAGACTGGCTTTGAACCACGGTCCTCAGATCTCAGCCTCCTGAGCAGCTAGGATGACAGGCGTGAGTCACCAGCGCCCAACTTTTTTTTTTGGTATGTTGTGGGCCTTGAACTGGGTGTTGTCCCAGACTATTTTTAAGTGTTCTTTAACTTTTTAAAAAGTAATATAATAATAGTAATCACTGTTGTACAGAGGGTTATAATTTCGTAGGTCAGGTCATGAGTACATTTCTTTTTCTTTGGACAGTGTTGCTCCTCCCCCAGCCCCCTTCCCATCCCTGGACACAAGTTACATAGTTCATTTTCCGCATAGTATGTTCTGAATACCATGATTGCATCTTTCACCCTTTCTCCGCTACCTAAAAGAAAAAACCAACACGGGGTGCCACGTTCCAGAGAGAGGGAGCGGGCGCTCAGGAGCCTGCCCAGGGGCCGGGGCAGCGTGCCCTGCCTGGGGGACCCGTGCAGAGCAGGGCTGGACCTGTCCACCAGGGGTGGCAGGAGGAGGCCACCCTGGGAAGGCTGCTTCCTCTGGGAAGGCCACCTGCCCGCCCGCCGGCCTTGCTGAGTCCCAGGATCTGGCCTAGGCAGGGTGCTGTAGGACAGGAAGGCCACCAGAGGGCGCCCAAGCACCGCTTTTGGTCACGGACTGAGGTCCTCAGCTGGGCTGATCTGATTATTCTCCGCTGCGTGTGGGGCCTTCCCCCAGGGCCTGGACCGCGCGGTTTCCCTCTCTCCAGGGCGGGGGGCGGTTGCATCCGTTACTGTTCTGGTGGCTGATGTACAGCACTTAGGGTGGAAGGGAGTCTTTGGCTCACAGCTTCGCGCCCTGCGGGGTCTCCTGGCTTTGTGCTCCAGGGCAGAGGGCTGCAAGCAGAGACAGGCCCGACCTCCAGGCCCAGCTTCCTCCAGCCACAGCTTCCGACGGGTCAGGCCGGTCATTTGCCCCCTCTACACAAACAAAAGTAGTGGTGAAAAGGAAGGACATTTTTTTGCCGGTTGTGGGCCTGAACTCTGGGCCTGGGCGCTGTCCCCCAGCTCTTCACTTCCGGCTTTTTCTGCTTATGTGGTGCTGAGGAATCGAACCCAGGGCCTCATGCATGCGAGGTGAGCGCTCTACCATCCAGCCACGTTCTCAGCACCAGAAGGACATGTTTTAGTCAAAATGGCCGTTTTGGGAAGACAAAGCCCGCAGCCTGCGTCTGGGGCACTGGCACGGCCTTCAGACGCGGGGGCTGCACAAAATTCAGCAGTCCTAGACAAAGCGAGTCTGCTGCTGCGCTCCCCCCAGACCTGGCGGCTCACACGCAGTTCCGTCCTGAGACAGCCAGCCGTGTCCCGCCTGGCTGCCCTGCGGTGGGGCTGGACTTGCAGCGCCTTCCTCAGGGCCTGCGGAAGCTCTGCCTTCCTGCCTGCAGCCTGGAAGGGGACAAGGCCATTAGGTACTGACAGTGTTTAGGGAGATGCCGGTCAGGCAGCCCGTGTGCCGAGGCAGCGTGACGGAGACAGCCCAGCTGGGATGGAGCAGCCACACCAGGCTGTGGACGCCGTTTTATCTCCTTTGGATGCAGGTAGGAGTCACCAGGAGTTCC